TTCGTTCGTCATGAAATTTGAGTCGCTCATCTTTGATTGAGGGTTAAAGAACTAATATTTGGAATTTCCCAAGACGATAATCCACTACTAACGGTTACTTTTTATTAATTACTTCCTTCTGAGAACTGATAAAATTGATTACTTGAACATTAATTTACCAGTCGTTTAAAAATTTGTTATGTAATTTAATTACTTTACTTTCAAATAGGTGAAATCCACATAAATTCATAAAATATTATAAGAGAGAAATTTGGCTTTCCACTTCTCCATCCACATTTTTTGTATGAAGATGGAGTAGAAAGCCAAAACCTATCTTTAAACGCCATCCGGTCCTGGCCACTTATAATGTTGGTATAAGTTAATAGTTCATTTGATTCCTAATCTACCACTTTGCCACCAGCCATTCTTCCCATGTGGATACATAAAAATTCATCGATCACTTTTACTGACACCAAATTTCAAGAATATGTTTTCTATACGATGATGACTATCTTCAGTTAATCAGTTTTGGTGCAAAATTTCTCTTCCAAATATTGGTACACGTTAAAATATTGGACCGGTCAAAAATAGCAGCAACACATTTTCAATAACTTTCGCATACGATTCCGGATGCGCACAAGTCAAAAATAGGTCCCCTGAAGTTCTTTCGAAAGTACTTTATACAGTATAGCGCCTACTGAGATCTGTTGATCTGCTCGCATTACTTCGTACACGACTCTATCTTAGGTATCCTAAGGTTCAATTAGGTTCCTTTTGTGTTGATCCCAGGTTTTTTTGTCCTTTTTGAAGGTTTTTCTACATTGTGTATCATGCGTGCTAAATGTTCTTTGCACCAGGAAACATTCCTATTGATCTTTAATTAATGAAACTATCAACAACTAAGAACAATATTAGTTGTCAAAAGAACTCCCAATAATCGGTCTGCTCCTAAAATCAAGTCTGTAGGATCTCGTATCAGAAAACCAATACCGTCTAATCAAGTTTCCAGGTCTACCTTATAGGCTTCCCAGTTTGTTTTCCAGGGTTTTGATAAGAAATGATCTGGATATGAAATGTTTTCCGGGGTTTTGATAAGAAATGACCTGGGTATGAGACCTTTCGATTTCAAAGTTTATATGACAATGATCTGAACTATTTTCTTCATCAGACACATTCCATAGTTACTCATAAATGTAATACCTAGGTCTGAGTCTATCACTTTCCCTCGTCTCGTGTTGCAGAAGTACGCATAAAAGGCGTTTTATATGCTTCCCTTTCAACTGACTGCATAAGGTTGAAACTCATTTTTACTTCAGTGCCATGATAATCTCAAATCTTTAAGAGGCAGCAGATGATCCCTTAAAAATTTAGCCATGGTCTTGCGGTCTATAAGAACAGTTCATGAAGTCCAAATCTTGAGTACTGAGAAGCGCAACTTTTCTTTTATAATAAGTATTTAAGTGGCAAACTCTGTCAAAAAGCCATAAGCCAAAAAATATATTATTGAAACTGTACCGCTTGAAAACTTTGGTAATCTCACCGAAACATTTGCCTCGTTTGGTGGAGAAGAAGATTATTGTTGAAAGAATATTAAAATCACTCATTACTACGAGTTGAGCGAATATCTGAAGAATGTCCAGCCACAAAAGGTTGAAATTGACACGGAATGAAACGTTTTCACTAAAAATTTTTCTCTCGTTAGTCATTAATTCGCGTGAGTTTTGACTTGAGGGTTGTCGTTCGTAGGGGGGCGACAGCTGATTACTGGAAAAATATATTTTAACAGAGACAGTTAAAAATCAATATATTACTGGTACATCAGAAAACTTGAAAAAGGTATGTTTCAATCAATCTTGTTTTTTCATTTTGTCAGGAAACTTATTCCTAGTCATTATTGTATATCTCATAATAGTTTTTTTGTAATATATTTCTGGCATAAAATTATACAGATTTTTAAGGAGAGAAAATGTCCAATGATAATAAACATAATTTTCGATGAGTATCATGACTGGAAAATTTTATGTGAAATTCGTATTGAAGTTTGATGAGGATTCCAAAAAATAAAGGATGTTCCTATTAAAAAACTAAAGTTTCCACTACTTTCCATATACCTAACTGAAAGTGACAGAATATTACATTTTTTGGAGTTCTTCATTAACGTCTGAATGACTCTATAAACCTCTGTAAACATTATTCTATAAGTGTTTGTTGAATATTTGCGTTTACACAAATTTTCAAAATCTAACCGANTGTTAGATCATTTTTAAAATTGTGTTGAATAATTGGTACTGATATAAATAAACAATGTTTTCCGATGAACTATCCAAATCGACAATTTCATAGTTTCACACTAATTTATTTTCAATACGTTTATTTCAAATGAGGATACTAAGTTTTTCACAAGTTCTGTATTTTCCCAATAGGGAATCTTAGAAACTCAAAGAGATGTATCCAAAAAATGTGAAATTGGCGTAACTCCAAAAACTACTTCATTTTCCTTTATTATTTTCATGAAAATTATAACTGCATTAGTTTTCTCAAACGAAAAAAGTTTAATGAGAACTGCTTGTTTGTGAAATAAACTTCCTGAGAACGTTTTTCCAAAGCGATTCAAATACAAAGTAAATCGCTAATTTAGCACTGGCACAGCTCTTAGAGCGCCTTAAGGAATTTCCTGTGGTGCTTGTATTCTGTTCTCAAAAAAGTTATGCATGAAAATGTTTTGGAGCACAATTTTGCTTAGATTGACGAAGTATAGGTACAGATATATTCCATTGTGGAACGAGGTAATGTGCTGCAACATGGGAAAATTAGACATTTGGGAAAAACAATAGTAGCTGTTCTCAAGAAAAATCTTGTCTTTTGATTCTGTGGTTATGGAATCTCCTAATGGCCTTACAACGAACATAAAATCTCGAATTGTTCAACCTAGTTTGAGGTAAACATAATAGTGAGGGAATGAATGTCAAAAGAGCCTGAACATTATAGCAAGTTGGAGTTAGAAAGGTTAACAAAACATAGGCCAATTAAAATCGATCATTTCAGCATTCACCATCAAAAGGATAGAGATAGAGAGAGACTCTGAAACTTCAAACTGAAATAGAACAAGGAATAGAAAGATAAGCAGAGGTATGCCAACCATACGTACCTATAAAAGAATGTGTGGACTTAATTACAAAATCGATTACATTTGCGTCTTTGTTTTGGTAATGAGTGCGATGTTTTTTGGAGACTTGGACAGCAGCAAGAAAGTCATCTTTAATTAGTTCGGACTTTCATAGTCTAATATTATATAAATTGATTTGAAATACCTGAAAGAATCTAAAAATTTCAAAAAGGATTAGCTGAAAAGATAACAACTAAATTAAGCGAAAAAAACTGAAATTACAATGAAATAAAATACAAGCAACAACGACAAATTGAAAAAACTAAACTATTAACACGAAGAACACCTTACCCAATACAAATTTTATTCTCATATTTACTGGGATTCTAAGCGAAAATCACTTTCATTGTTGATAAAATGACAGAACATAAAATTTATTGTTTCGTCTTCCATGATTGAATCCAGCTGTAAAACTATTATCAAAGATTGCGACATATCGATGTAGTGACTGCATCGTTTATGACAATGGGACTGCTCGTTCAGAAAATATGAAGCTGTGAACTGCTAATAATACGTTTTCTGAAATTTGCCTAATACAAATGGATTTTATTTCGAAATTCAATATAGTAATCAAGCAAATGCTCCCAAGGGAAGTAACTCAATTTCTCTTCTCGTCATATCCAGCAACACATGACGTTCAAATAATTACGCGCGCACAATTTGTGAGTAATATGAAGAAGCTAATTAGAGTAAATCCTGATACATATAACTCGGTAAATTTTCAGAAAAAAAATTTACAAATACCAGACCAAACTTTTGGGAGTTTGGGTGTCTACAGCGTAGATGATCTGGAATTGCTAACGTTTCAGTAAATAAAATTGTGACAATCAATCATTTACACCGTTCAGAAATGAAATACACCCGCCTAGAAACACACATTGAATAAGAAATTACCATTTTCGCTAATTGGAAAACTGCATAAGATGATTGAAGTCGCCTTTTTTCTAGCTTCAACTGAATCTTGCATACAGAATTTTTGTTGAATTGTTGCAGTCTTTTTGTGGATTGATTTCTATGATTGAACTTATTTTAAATCAGTTAAGTAGTTTTTGAGTTTATCCATCTCAAATAAAACAAATTATTTTTTTTTGTGGAACTATTTACAATTTTTTGTATGATTCGAAAAGTATTATTGAGAAAGTACTTCAAAAGATGTGTAGACTTTCACGTTTCTAATTTGCGTTGTTCAAATAGTAATCAGAACAAATATTGGTTTAGTTTTATTTTCAACCCTATTTGCACAATTATCAGTTTATTTATTAATTTGTTATAATAATTTATACTTCATTTTGATTAGTTAACGTTAATTTACATTCAGTTCAAGAGAGGAATGAATAATGAGATTAGAAACGCTACTGTATCCTTTATAGTATATATTAGTAGACACTAAACCAACTGATATTTTCCCTTTTGTGCCTCTGAGTCATACAAGACATTTCATGAATACTTCCAAGGCCAAGTGGGCACCTTTCCCTCGGGACAGCAATGACACGATCCCTTCGCCCTCAGAGAAAACTATCGGCAACTCGTAAAGTTTTACGAGCCCCACCGTAAAAGTTCACCGCCGACCGCCGCCACCCACGTAACGAATTTCCACCTGGCATATTATTTATTAAAACTGCTATCCAGCTCGAAGGACCACTAAGAGGAAATTCCGGTTGCGTGTCTCGTTTTCTATCGTCCGATGGTGACGTGAAGCCGAGACGGACCGGCGAGGGCTTTACTACGTAATTAGATGAAGCCCTTTCCGAAGCAGTGCGCCGCGAAGCGAGGGGCCCGCGGGGGCATGTCGAGAATTGCGCAACTCCCGTCGACCCGGCCTGCGCTCCTGCGCGAACCGCGAATCCGAAACGCGACGCTTCGACTTCGCGAACCGCTGACAGTCCCTCGCTATTGCCTGAACGCTTAGCTTGCCCGCCGAAGCTTTCTCAGATTCAGTGTGTTCCGAGGCGTATTATGTATATACACTAAAACTAAAGCCTCCTCCACTCTATTTGTATTTCGATACGGATTTGTAACGCGTGTAGGTATCGAGGTGTACTGTCTCTCTATTTTGGACGTAGCGATTAACTCTCTTCCGCTTCATCCGAATCAACAACGGCGATATTTTTGTACTATATCTCCTGAGACGATACAACGTGCTTGTTCCACCGGGTTTTTCAAGTGACTTGTGCAGGATTTTTTCTTGGTGAAATATTCAATTGTTCCAGTCCAACGCTTCTGATTTTCTGAGGATATCGTATTGATGTGAGTTGGTTTTGCTATTTTTCATTATTTGGATCGATAGATGACAAGTTACTGGAACTAGTTCAAGCAGACAACGACAGTTTCGATTTCCACTATTTCAAACCCACAAATTTGTAATTTATTTCAACCGGCATTTCCTTGTCGGTATGTCACGACAGCTAGTGAAAAACACTCACTGAAATAAACAAACAGGAAATAAAATGATAATTGGGATATCCATATCAATGCCTTTTATAGGATAATTCAGATATTATGTTGGTATCATAATCTACCACCGATCAACAAGATAATAAGAGGAATATAGTTTCAGTTCAGTAGAAACATCAGCTGCAAAAAATTTAATTATTAAATTGGTATACGTATCAGAATTTTTCAAAAGCAGCTTAGAATCATCAGAAGATCACAATTTTCTTAAAATAGCACCACTTTTGTAACTTGATATTTTTCCCAAGACTATGCGTGCTGTAATTGACTTGAGCAGGTTTATTTCTTGGTAAAATATTACATTTTTCCACGTTCTCTCTTCTCATTTTCTACAAATACCACATTGATGTGAGTTAGTTTTGATATTTCATAGTATTCGGATATTGATGGAATTATATCAAGCCAGAATGATAGTTTTAATCTTTGAACCGGCATTTGTTTGTCCATACGTCACGACAACTAGTGAAAGACATTCACTGAAATAAATGAACAGGAAATGAAATGATGATTGAGACAACCACATCAATACCTTTCATTGGATATTTCTCAGAATAATTCATATTTTTGTTGGGTTTATTATCTACCACTGGATGAACTAGGAAAACGGTTTTATTCCGAACAGAAATTCAACTTTCTAAGAGAGACCAGATTCTAGATGGCCCGATTCTTTCATAATGAAAACAAAATTGTAAAATTCGTGTTCAAATCAAAATTGAATAGTGAGTTCAGAATCATTGATGGTAGTTTGATTTGAAATAATACCTACCAATTCTGAAAGTTCATATTCTTTACTGTTAAATGTTTCCTAAAATTACCTAATACTTGGAAAATAAGTCTTGATTTTCCCATAAAACTTCAATTTTTTATCGAGTCAAAATTATATATTTAATAATTTTATTCATCTATAGATATATAAATTTAATTTCCAAATCGTTGAATTTTTTACGGTATACTCCCCGTATCTGAGGGGTTTGAAATATAATCTGTTTAAAATATGTTTTTCCGTTAATCAACTGTCGCACCCCTAGGAACGACAACTCTCAAAAGGTGAAACTTCTACGAACTAAGGACTAACGAGGTCTTACCTTTTAACACGAAATGCCACTATCAGTTGGAGAGGTCATGATCCAATGGTACAAATGAGATTTTAAAAAGGCGTTTTCAAGAAGGGCCGTTTTGAAGACAAATTATATTTGGACACTGCATTCCTACTGTTACATACTTATGTTACAAAATTATATGTTTTTTAACTTTGCAGAATCACCTGAAATGCGCAAACATATGAAGTCCTTAGATTTTTTAAAATTAGATCATAGACACAACGCATTTATGATTCAACACCAGACAACGCTGTTTCGACTCGCCTATCACTGTCAGTGGTGCTAGGCTAAACCACAAATGCATTGGTGGATTCAACTGTCTTAAAGAAGAAGCCTAAGTAAATATGGTATGTTCACTAGGGCTTGTTCTTTAGGAAAATAAGGCTTGTTTGCATAGACTTGTTCTTGAAGGACAGTTGGGTCCAGCAATGCATTTGTGGTTCAGCCTAGCACCACTGATGATACATATGGCAGGACGGAACAGCACTGTTTGGTGTTGAATCATAAGTGCGATGTGTTTGGGCTCTATTTTTCAATTTGTTGCCTTGCAATGAAAGGCAGATGACGAATCTTGTCGTCATAGCTTGGCTTTGCAACTAATAGCTTTGGGGAACCTCGTTTATGTTCAATATTCGATGATTGAGTTCTCTGTCGATCTCATAAATGGCCTTATTTAATTTGTAGATTATTTCGGATTTTTTTTTATCAAAATTCATATTCATGTCTTGAGTTAAGTGATATCTATGTTCTTCATTTATGTTTTCTTTTCAACCAAAAAGTTAATTCGTCACTTTTTATTCCAAATAAACCTTCATGAATTTTCAATGAAATCAATTGAATGTAATGATTCTAGTGACAAAGGAATAATATTTGAATGTATTATTCAAATATTATTTCCTAACGTATATCGCTGTATCAAAAACTTGTAGTCTAATGTAACTGCATTGAATATAATACTCTTGAGAAATATTTATGTAATGCTTCGCAATCTCAATTTTTATCATTAAGAAATGTCAGAGAATCATGTGTCACGGGAATTTCAATTCAATAAACACTGCCTGCCATAGTGATAATGACACAAAAATACTTGTAAATATTTGGAAATGATAATACTCATGCCTTGATAAAAATAACTTGGCGAACAGCAACTGTCTCCGTGAGAAATTGGAACATTCATTATTACTCATTTTCAAGTTGGTTGTTTTTTTCAAGGACAAAACACAAGCACTACAGGAGAATCTTTAAGGCGTTCTTAAAGCGGGGCCTGTGCGAAAGTAGTGATTCACATTGGATTTGAATCGCTGGAGATTAAATTCATTTGGAGAAACGTTCTCAGGAAGTTTATTCCACATAAACGCCGTTCTCCAATGTCTACTTCGTCACTGTATAGCAATAATTTGTATTGAAATTCTTTTTGTGTTAGATCATTTTTAAAATTGTGTTGAATAATTGGTACTGATATAAATAAACAATGTTTTCCGATGAACTATCCAAATCGACAATTTCATAGTTTCACACTAATTTATTTTCAATACGTTTATTTCAAATGAGGATACTAAGTTTTTCACAAGTTCTGTATTTTCCCAATAGGGAATCTTAGAAACTCAAAGAGATGTATCCAAAAAATGTGAAATTGGCGTAACTCCAAAAACTACTTCATTTTCCTTTATTATTTTCATGAAAATTATAACTGCATTAGTTTTCTCAAACGAAAAAAGTTTAATGAACTGACAAACACATTACTGACTATATTTTATTTAACAGAAACATTCCGTTCAGAAGTTTCAGAAAACGAAAAGTATATTTTCAATCCTCTTTATCTGCACGATTTTTTCGTCATTCATCCGCCGCTTGTGACGTAACCTCCATAATCCTGTTTACTAACCGTACTCTTATCAGTTATAGGAGTTTACTTAGCAGTACCCACAACGCGGTGGATTCATTTTTTCATTTGTTTCACATCTATTAAATATAAATTCGTGGAAATGCATTGGAATTATTTTTTTTTCTCTTTGAAGAAATAAGAAATGAGTTTTAGTCACGCTGATTTTATTAAACTTTTTCATATACTTATTTTCATTACTCAGATAGGAAATAAATCTCGTGGAGCAGTCGATGTCGAAACTTTGCTTTGTAACTAACTGCTTTGTAACTAACCGCTTTGTGTAGCCTCATTTATCTTTGATGCTCGTTGATTCACCTCTGTCAAATGGCGTCATCGTAGGGGCAGATGATATCAACTTCACAGTCACATTCATAGTTATTTTCCAATGAGCAAGACATCATTTTATTAAACTATACTATGTTACGATTCTTCTCAATTTTCGAAAGTGTACATATTATTTCCATTATAATAATGGCAATATCATCCACACTGACCATCTAGTGGCGTAGAACAAATCCAACAAAAACTCTCCCTCATACATCAAAACTCCAACTTGTGAAACGCGTGTTGTGATGTGTGGGAGAAGTATAGTTGAGCTTTTATTTAAATTACTAATTATTTCAATGAGAAGACTTCTTTCAAATTCAGTGACTTTCCAATGAAAATGTATACTTTCGTTCTCATTTCAGAGTTCCTTCTTTACTAAACTTTCAAGTGATGTTCGAAACCTTTATCTACAATTGGTGCGATAACTGAAATTGAGTTAGACGACATTATCCGTATCGATGGAATACCTGTTATAAAATGTTCATGAATATTGATACCCTGTCATATCAGTTACGAAGTTAATGCAAGTAAAACGAATAGTGAGCGATAATTTTGATTCAGGCATTTTTCAGGTATTCATGTTATTTTTGAAATGATAATGAATTTATTTTGAAATTAGGTGGCATGCATTGCATATCGCCATTAAATACATAGTTGAAAATTTTGTCATAATGAAATTCAACTTTACTGGAATATGCACTTAGTTGAAAGTTAACTCGATTAACCTCCAATCTCATTGGAATACAAGGTTCTACGTTCTACTGGATCTGTATATTTAAAATCGTGCATTCATTTCATAATATGGAACGAACTCTAGTTTTGAGATTTTCGTGTATCTATTAAACTATTGATCAAACTATCAATTATATTATTCAAAACTCCCTACATTTTACTCTAATATCCACTTCCTGACACTAATGAAGTCTTTTTCATAAATTTGTATCACATATTATGAAATGTTCATGGGGTGATATCGTTACAAGAACATCTTTTTCTATGCACTAGTTTTGAAATGAATTGCGGTTGATTATCATAGACTTCAGATGTCACGTATTCTCTTAAAAACATTCTAGAGGTGTCATATCAGGTGATCCAGGGAGATCATGTTTGCCTGTCTACTGATTTGGAAAATTGTAAAATCGAAATGAGTTTTCGATCAATATTGGATTTCAGCAAGACGAGGTACCTTTTTATTATGACGAGCTAGTTTGAAAGTGATTAAATGACAATTATCCAAACCAGTAAATTGGTAAATGTAGACCCTCAGAATGGCCCGCTGCGTTACCTGACATGACACTTTTACAATTCTTTGAGGATTAGTGAAATCTAAAGTTTACGTTACACAACCGCAGTCTACTTCAGATCTCACGGTCAGAATTAGAGGTGCTCCTAACGAAGTTACCCCAGAATCATTCCATAATGAGTTTTCAAACCAACTTCGTTATTGTTAAGGAGTGAATGGTAACATTTACCAGAATGAACTG